CAGCAGGGTAGGTTTTGAATCAGAGCAATCTCATAATTGCTTTTCGTCTCACTATGTAGAGGGAGGAGAGTTGTGCTGAAGTTGCCACCTTAACATTTTGCAAGATAACCCTTTTCCTAACTTGAATCTTGGAGCCAAGAACCCATCAAATGGGGAATAGCATTGTGAAAGCTGTTTCCAACTTTTCTTATATAGAATTTTCTAAGCATTATTCAGTTTCAGATTATTTAAATTCCAAATAGTTTGTATTATAAAATAAGTATAAACTCACACTTGGTATTATTACTTTCTGATGCTTCATTTCTGACACATCCTCCCACTGTTGACATCGCTCCCAGTCTTTTGGCTGTGTTACTTGGGAAACCCGTTTTTAAAAGACAGTGTTAAATCCTTGATATCTTTACAAAATACTTCCTACCTTCTTGCCATGACTAAAGCCCAGACTTCCCCCAAGAAAGTGATTTCTTCTTGGATGGAGATTTCTCTGTCTCCTACAGGGAGGGTCTTAGTGACAGGAATGGCTAGTCTATTGCAGTATTTCCCCAGCTGCTTCTGCCACTTCTAGATTTTTACTGAAGGTGATAATCTAAACAGTCTGGAACTTAAGAAGAATGGACTTTTGGCAGTTACTTCTTACATGACCTTGGTCACATTTTCTATCTACTGTATGGGTTGCTATGGGAGTGAGGTCCATACCTCGTAGCTTCATAGTGTACAAGGTCCTTTGTATCCTCACCTCCACCTATCTTTTTAATCCTGTTTGCTACTCATTCATGTGTAGCTTTTACTTGAGTCCTATAATAACTAAGGTTCTTTGTACCTGTGTGTGTGTGGTTAGTACACTGTACTTGTGGAATATGTTTTTTCCTCCCACTTCTTCATCTAGCCAAGTCCAGGCCAGCCTTCAGAATTCAACTCAGATGATCTGGTTTTGTTCTTATTTTCTCCTCTCTGGTTTAGAACCACCATGTGTTGTTTCCATAGCACTCTGAATGTAACTTCAGCACTTCCCACACTCTATGAGAGCTTTTGGGTCTCTGGGTTCTCAGTGAGACCAGGAGTTCATTATTCTTCTTATCCTGGTACATCTCATGTTCATTTACTTTTATTAAATATACACATCAATTCTGAGAGGGTAGTATAAACTTGCTTGGTCTTACCTCATGGCTTTTGGGCAAGTTGTGCACCTGAAATACTTTTAAATTTAAGAGTATAACCTTAGACGATTATAATTTAAAATTTAATATATTTGCATATTTACTTTCTATCCATATTTTGCATATTGGGACTATGCAAAACTATTTCTTTTTCTAAGTTGAAATCAAGGATTTTTTTCTGTTCTTTAGTCACTGAATATTTTATCAAACTTTTCTCCTATTTTATATAGTCCTTACAATTGTCTACTGCTTGATGTTTAGGCACCATTCAACACTAGTGACTGTTGACTCTGATACCATATTATGTCGTTTTCCTTCTTCTGTGATTGTTCCTACCATTTCTTGTGTTGATTTCTCTTTTCATTCCTTAAATTTTGGTGTTTCACTGTGTTCTGTGCTGAGTCCTTTTTTGTTTTACTATGTAAACTCTGGGCTGTCGTCATCATTTGTTGTGTCAGTTACATTCTGTATGTTAATACTTCCCACTTACAGTGTCTCTGGAACTCCAGAGCTATGTGTTGAGCTGCCAGTGGCCCAGTTCCTCTAGAATGTCTCACTGGTGCTTCAGATGAATGAACTTTCTTCTCCCCCTGTCTAAATCTCTTGCTTTTTCCTTTGTGCTATCTCAGTAAATGGCTCCATCCATCTGGTTGTCAGGGACCTGACAGACATCCTTGATTCTTCCTACCCTTACTTTCTACATCCTTTCAGTCACCAAGGTCTGGTGATTCCATCATTGAAATAGGCCTTGAGTCTACACTGTGGACTGATGATTTATTCTGATCCCCTTCTATTCATATTGCTAAAGCTCTAAGCTGCAGTGTGGTAGTATTTGGAGTTCGGTTGGGAGATAGTTAGGTCATGAGGGTGGAGGTCTCATAAATGGCATTAGTGCCCTTATAAGAAGAGGCAGGAGAGAGATGATCTCTTTTTCACCATGTGAAGATACAGCAAGAAGGTGGCTATCCGCAAGCCAGGAAGAGTTGTGGTCCTCATCAGAACCTGACCATCCAGATTGGACTTCCAGGCTCCAGAACTGTGAAGAGTAAATGTTTATTGCTTAAGCCACCCTGTCTGTGGTATTCTGTTAAGCAACTTGAACTAAGACACTCTGCCTTCTTCATCTCCACTCTTACTCCTGTAGTACAGGTCTCTGTAATCTTTGTGCAGTACCCTCTTACACTGATTTCCTAACTTGCAGCTTATTCTTCTCTAATGTGATTTCTATGCTACAGAGTAATCTTTCTAAAATATAAATCAGATATTTTTCTCCAGTTTTCTTCAAATGTTCTCACTATGCTTTAGATAAGATCCAAACTCCTTACTTACTGAGGCTGACAAGGTCCCATATGATCTAGCCCTTGCCTCTCTATGGGGCTTCATCCTTTAAGATGTTACCTTACTTGCATACTGTATGTTGACCTGAAGGCTTGGAATGCTTCAGTTCTTGGAATGCTTGTGTTTCTTCCATGTGTGGGTGTTCACACAGGAAATAAAGTTCACTTTCCTTCTCCCCTATCTTTTGCCCTAGCTTGATCCTTCTAATTCTTTATGTCTCACTGTGTTAGTTCTGGGAAATCTTCCCTGATCCCCTTGCTAGGACACCCAGAGCATTCTTGTTTAATTCTCTGCCGCCTGCTATTATGATAAGGATGTCTTGTTCATGTTGCATCTTTACCATCTTAGCACCAGTGCTTGACACTCATTATTAGTTGAACTAATGAACATTTAGTTACTTAGTGTTCTATGTTGTTGGTAAGCCAACATTTGTCTTATAATTCTTTTAAGGTTGGATACTTGTTTCTACATTTTTGCTGTGATTTAAAAAATGAACCATTTTGGCACGAAGCAGTTTGCTTCTACCAGTTTCTTCCATAGGACAGATGGTAAAGTGGAAGAAGTAGATCAGAGGGTCCAGATCTTTTTTATATACAGCCTTTTGCTGTATTTTCTTCTAAATGAGTTGTGTGAATTTACAATAGTACCAACAATGAATTTCTATACACTTTTTAGCATGTATCAGTGTTTCATTTCTTTTTGTTGCCAAATAATATTCCATTGTATGGATTGTACCACATTTATCTATTGATCATTTGATGGATATTTGCATTGTTTCCACCTTTTGACTGTTATGAATGATGCTGCTATGAAAATTCCTGTGTAAGATTTTGTGTAGATAAGTAGTGTAATTTCTTTTGGGTATATACCTAGGAGTGGAATTGCTGAATTATATAGTAACTGTTTAATTAAATTTCCTATTGCTGCATAACCAACAACTACAAATTTAGCATGTTAAACCAGCACTCATTTGGTAGTGTCACAGCTCTGTAGGTCACAGATATAGCCATTGCTTAGCTAGCTTCTCTGCTTAGCCAGGGAAGCTGTGAGTCTGACTTCTTTTCTGAAACTGGCCAAAGAAAACTCAGCTTTTAAAGGGCTCATGTGATTAGATTAGAGCTGCCTGGACAATCTTGTTTTAAAGCCAACTGTGCTATATAATATAATCATGGGAGTGGTATCTCCTCACATTACAGGTGCTGGGGATTAGGTTGTAGAATCTTGGGGACTTGGACTTTTAGAATTATGCCTGCCACAACTGCTTTAATAGTTACTAAATGATATCTCAGTTTCTTTTATTTGCATCTTTGGTTTCCATTCCCTGTGTATTTATTTTCTTTTTATATCAAGCTTTATAAGATTGCAAAGAACAGAAGTGCTCAGGTTATGAAGGTTTATTTCAAAGTACACAGAAACCTTGTAGAGAACAGAAACTTTGTAGTGGCTGAATAGTAAAGCACAGATGTCTTTTGGTGACTCTTACACTGGTGATTCAGTTTACCTCTTTACTGATTCTGTTGCCTATATTCTCTTCCCACTGCTTTTAAGCTTTGGCTTATTGGAGCCTCTGTCTTGTCACTTCTCAAGCAGTAGTTAAGCACATGAACTTAAGAGTCACTCAGTTTGTGTTTGTCTTTAGTTGCATCAACTTCAAAATAGAAATAATTTTTCTAGATTTTTGAGTATATTTAGTACCTGACATATACTGTACAATAAATAATAGATAATATGATGTGTGTTTTGTTCCTATCCTTGTTTCTAAACACCAGAAAGAAATGGTTTGAATGGGTCATTTATCAAGTACTATAGGCTGTCTGGGGTAGAATTTTAGTATTAGGCCATTTCAGAAATCAGATGCTGACCTTTGGTAAGATCTGCTTGATAGGGGTTTGGGCAGTTCTGAAGCATAGCATGCTAAGTATAGGGACCATTTATGGAACTGCTTTCTGGATATGTTAAGAATTTGTTAGTTATAATTACTATTTCCATTAACGTGAATTGGTTACCTTTGACTCATTTATCTAGTGGTATCTTGGTATTTTTTTCTGAGAAATTTGTTGAGTTTATTAGACACTAATAAGCTGTTAAAAAAATTTTGCTCCCTTGATAGAAATCTTTCTTTTTTTTTAACGTTTATTTATTTTTGAGACAGAGAGAGACAGAGCATGAACAGGGGAGGGTCAGAGAGAGAGCAGGAGGCACAGAATCTGAAACAGGCTCCAGGCTCTGAGCTGTTAGCACAGAGCCCGACGTGGGGCTTGAACTCACGAACCGCGAGATCATGACCTGAGCCACAGTCGGACGCTTAACCGACTGAGCCACCCAGGAGCCCCGATAGAAATCTTTTTTAACAACCTTTCAAATGTTTTATTTAGTTACATAGATTCTTTTATGTGGCTTTACCTTTTTTTTCTTTTTAATTAGAATTAAATTTTTAATTTCCAAAAATGTCTTTTGGCCTCTGTAGTGATGATCACGTAATTTTTCTTGCTTAACCTATAGGTTTGGTGTTTGTAATCAGTTTTTAAAAAAAATATAACACTGTCCATGCATTACTGGGGTAAACGTTAGTTATGGTACATGTAGCTAATCCTTGAATAACATGGGTTTGAACTGTGGGTCCATATACCTGTGGATTTTTTTCAGTAAATACAATATTATACTGTAAACATATTTCCTTTTATGATTTTCTTTTCTCTAACTTTGTTGTAAGAATGTAGTATTCTTATTGTAAGAATATAAGTAAATATATATTGACTGTTTATGTTATCAGTAAGGCATCTGGCTAACACTAGGCTATTAGTAATTAAGTGAGGAGTCAAAAGTTATACATAGATTTTCAACTATACAGGAGTCAGTGCCCCTAACCCCTGTGTTGTTTAAGGGTCGTCTGTATTTATGAATAATTTATAATTGTTGGAACACCTGGGTGGCTCAGTTGGTTAAGCGTCTGACTCTTGGTTTTGGCTCAGGTCATGGTCATACGATTTCATGATTCGAGCCCCGCATTGGGCTCAGCACTGGCATCTGGAGCCTCCTTGGGATTCTCTTTCGCCCTCTCTCTCTGCCCCTCCCCTACTCGCACTCTCTCTCTAAATAAATAAATAAACTGTAAAACAAATTTATAATTGTTCTAAGTTTATAAGTGAGCTTTATTTCTTTTTATGGTATCAGGTTTAGAATTAGTCTCATTTTCTTATAGACAGATTTAGTAGTAGGTTTTTAAATGTGACTTTCTGCTAGTTCAACCATATAACTAAATTTTAAATTGTATAGCTTTATGATAGGGAAATATGGTAAAATTTTGAGACATGCATTTGATTAAATTTTTTGAACAGGTGATGAACTCGTACAAAAATTTGTAAATAATTAGACACTATTTCTTCCTAGGTATCCTTTGTGTGGCTGATCAGTGTCATGGCTTACGTGAACTGGCCCTGAATTACCACTTGTTAAGTGATGAATTGCTGCTGGCTTTATCTTCTGAAAAACACGTTCGATTAGAACATTTGCGCATTGATGTAGTCAGTGAGAATCCTGGACAGACACACTTCCATACTATTCAGAAAAGCAGCTGGGATGCTTTCATCAGACATTCACCAAAAGTGAACTTAGTGATGTATTTTTTTTTATATGAAGAGGAATTTGATCCATTCTTTCGGTATGAAATACCTGCCACCCATCTTTACTTTGGGAGATCAGTAAGCAAAGATGTGCTTGGCCGTGTGGGAATGACATGCCCTAGACTAGTTGAACTAGTAGTATGTGCTAATGGCTTACGGCCACTTGATGAAGAGTTAATTCGCATTGCAGAACGTTGTAAAAATTTGTCAGCTATTGGACTAGGGGAATGTGAAGTCTCATGTAGTGCCTTTGTTGAGTTTGTGAAGATGTGTGGTGGCCGCCTGTCTCAATTATCCATTATGGAAGAAGTATTAATTCCTGACCAAAAATATAGCCTGGAGCAAATCCATTGGGAGGTGTCCAAGCATCTTGGTAGGGTGTGGTTTCCAGACATGATGCCCACTTGGTAAAGACTGAATGATGTAGGGCATGATGAATAGCACCTTTACGTTAAGAATACTGTATTATGATAAGAGTTTATTTCTTGTAGTTCTGATGTAATTCTATTTTGTGGCATGGAAATTTGATATCTGCATTGAATATATAAGGATTGTTTATTGGAAGACCCATGGACCAGTTTTGGTCAGAAAACTTCATCTGTTTCTGTAGCCTAACAGCAGTCAAATCTCAGAAAAATTTTTTATACTGTGGTTCAGATCTGAAAGTAAGTCAGTTATAAAGATGAAACATTTTACAGTCTGAAAGAAACAACACCTATATATTATAATATCCAAGAAGTGAGTACTAAGAAGTTTTCCAAATGTTCTCTATGCATTTTTTTTTAAATGTAAACTTGACATTTTAGGGTCTTCAGTTATACATACACCTGTTATAAGGTGTTTAATATAGCTCAGGACAGTGAGCATTTTGTGAGAAAAATGTAGGCTGTATCATATTGAATGAAAGAGATTGGTTGAATGTTCTCAAATATGTTACAGAGCTGTTTGAAGAGGTATGTAGAAGTAATTGGATTTCTTAGAAAACTGGTATGTGTCACACAATGGTTATTATAGACAGATAATAAACAGAGCCAAGATCAAATTAAAAGAAAATAAACAGAATAGAAGCGAGGCAGTGTTTAGTTTTGTATAAACTTTCAGGTTTGCTCTATAATCTGCTAAACCATATAAATTCTCTTCTGTGATATGTTACTATGTATGTGACACTTTGAGGCATCCTATGTAAAGCAAGGAATGCTTTGCCAGTTCTCCTTGGTTTTGTTTATCTTTGTTTAAGCTAGGTTTGAAGTATTATACAGTAATTGAAATGAAAAGCTTATCTATTTAAAAAAGCCAAATTGAAATAATTAAAGGTAGAACTTTAAAATGTTTATAAATTATTTCCATGAAAGAATATTCTCCAGTGAATTTTAGTGATGGTTCATTTTCCATTTTGGAATTAAATAGTTATGTAAGTAGAATTTTCAAAAATCATAAAAGGAGCACCACTTGTTCAGTATAAACAAGTGAACTTAAAAGAGGATATATTTAAGTTCATAATCATATTTTTGAGTAAATATTGCTCAGTGGACTGGAAAATTTTAATACAAAAATGTCTGCAGTTTTGTGATTGTTAATTTGGTTACAACGCTATTTTATATTATTTAAGTTAGGTAGCATTTTTATTACTTTCATATGAATAATGGTAAAACATACATTGCTATAAGAATATTAAGTTTGGGGCTACATTTAGTTTTGTTTTTGTTTTTAGATATTATATAAGCTTTGATTCTGAGCACTAGTGCTAGTAGATATTACCTTCCTAAGGGAAATTAGAAGTGATTTATCCCCAATGGAATAATATAGTAATGCTTGAAACTTTTAGAAAGCATCTTGGTAATAATGGAAGCCAACAGTCTTAAAGATCGAATCTATTTTTTAAATAGATCACCTTCCTAAGAAAAAAGTAAAGGTGATTTTGTACCTAATTTATACTTTTCAAAAGTCATGGTGTTCCGGCCACATGTAAATGAGAAGAAAAAAGGCTGATCCAGACTGGGAAATTAAAAGCAATTATTGTAATATTTTCCCCTTACTAAATAGTTAAAAAGCTTTGTACAAGAAATACATGTGATAGTGGATGAAGCCTTTTTTCCCTTGAACAACTTTGGAAAATGGATTTGACAGTGCATAATCAGTTCTACTAACCAAAGCTTTATTCGGAAATTTACTTTTTTGTACAAATTGAATTATATAATGCTTGAAATACTTTAAGTCACTTTATAAGCAAAATGCATAGCACTTACTTTGTTTATACTGTAAAGTATATATGTTAAATGCTTTTATCAATTTGAGAATAAAGATAGTTACTAATGCTGTTGTATTATTAATAGTTTTTAAAAATGACACTAACATACATATTTGGTTTTACAACAAGATAAACTTACAGATTTATGGGTTTAGTTTCAAATTTATATTTGATGAATACAATGTTTAATTTTGAATAAGTTTATGGTAGGATGACTTATAAAGATGTAAGATAAGGTAAATGAAATCTATTCTTAGAAATAAGTTCTGGGGCGCCTGGGTGGCGCAGTCGGTTAAGCGTCCGACTTCAGCCAGGTCATGATCTTGCGGTCCTTGAGTTCGAGCCCCGCGTCGGGCTCTGGGCTGATGGCTCAGAGCCTGGAGCCTGTTTCCGATTCTGTGTCTCCCTCTCTTTCTGCCCCTCCCCCGTTCATGCTCTGTCTCTCTCTGTCCCAAAAATAAATAAACGTTGAAAAAAAAAAATTTTTAAAAAAATAAGTTCTGATGACTAAAGTGATAGGAAATAAAAATTGGCCATGAAATGTAAATTTATTTTTCACATTTTATACAGAAAATGGTTAAATTAAAAAGAATAGGCTCTTTGTTTTTAGAATAAGAATTTATAAAACAGATTTTGAAATAGAATTCTTAGTCAAAGTCCTTTGAACCCAGGTATCCTTTTCATAGAGAAATGTTTTATATAAATTCCTACAATCAGACTAGTTCTTAAACTATTGAAATTATTTTCATTTCCTGTCTTAACAGCTTCCAGAAGATAACTTCAATTTCTCTTGGTAACCTGGGCTATTTTAACAATACTATCAGGAAAAAAAAAGGCATGACTAAAGATTAATCAATTTATTGCATTCAAAAATAGCTTTTTATATTTATGGAAAAGCTTAGGATAGATGGGAGGGGTTGATGTGAACAAGGCTTAGGCCTGAACTAGGTCTTTTTTTTTTTTTTTTTTTTAACGTTTTTATTTATTTTTGAGAGAGGGAAAGGCACAGAGTACGAGCGGGGAGGGGCAGAAAGAGAGGGAGACACAGAATCTGAGGCAGGTTCCAGGCTCTGAGCTGTCAGCACAGAGCCCGGTGTGGGGCTCGAACCCATGAAGGGTGAGATCATGACCTGAGCAGAAGTCAGACATCCAACCAACTGAGCCATCCAGGTGCCCTGTGACCTAGGTCTTGTAAGAAGCTGTAAGTCACCCCTACCCCATACGTAGCTGGGAACAATCTTTGCGGACTCCAGCTTCAGTTTATCTGTGGTTTTAAAGTTATCAAGCAGCCAGAAAAACCTTACCTGCTTCCTGACACCCAACTTTACTTTAAACATAAGGACGTATCTTAGGGCATATAAAATGGACACAAAGCCCTTTACTCCAAAAGTAAACTAAAAGCTTATCCTTAGAATAATCAGTCAAGTAAAAGAATATAAGGGTAATAGCCTATCTTGTTTTAAGTAGGGGAAAGAAAATGTAGATAGGAAAGTTTGAGAGCACAGGAAACTATTTGGACAACGAAGGGTAAATAGGCAGAGGCTGGAAACAAACTTTGGCCAGCCCATTTGCCTTTGACTCTGAACAGGGGAAAAGATGTGTGGTAGTTTTGGAACATTGTTCTTTGTATAACATACCAACAAGTTATTTTAAAAAAATAGTCATCTTAAAGGAACTGAAGTCTCAGATTATAAAACTGAAGTTTACTAAGACTTTTTTTTTTCTGATTTCAAAGGAGCCAATATTGAAAGTTACAAATACTTAATGTTTAGTAGTTTTAACCTTTGGACCATTTTCCTGTATGTGGATATTAAAATGTATTTGATGACACTTTATGGGTCTACTTAATACTAGCCAGAATTAGTAAGTGAGGACATATTTAAAGCCCTAATTCAAGGGGCGCCTGGGTGGCTCAGTCGGTTAAGCCCCTGACTTCAGCTCAGTTCATGATCTTGTGGTCTGTGGGTTCAAGCCCCGCGTTGGGCTCTGTGCTGACAGCTCAGAGCCTGGAGCCTGTTTCAGATTCTGGGTGCCCTCTCTCTCTGACCCTCCCCCGTTCTTGCTCTGTCTCTGTCTCAAAAATAAATAAATGTTAAAAAAAATTAAAAAAAGAAATAAAGCCCTAATTCAAACTTCCAACACAATGGTTTCTTAGAGAGTAAATTTTATACATTTATAACAGAAAAATATAAATCACATTTAAGTTATACGGTAGAATTGGCAAATTCCTGCCTGGCCATATTTTGGCTTCTCAATTACCATTTTGAAAGCATGTTCTTGAATCATCTCTACTCCAAAAGCCCTACTTCACCTTTTAAGTACAGTTGACAAGTTTGATAAACTCTTAAGTACTCAATATGAATTTTGTTCTCTCTATTTTATAGTCACCTGAGTCTATTACTTTCACAAAATTTCATTTGTTAATATTCATAGGAACTGAAAAATCTTTACTACTTTTTAAATGTTAACTGCTTAGAATCTTGCTTTAAAATTCAGCCTCCACATCCAGGTGTCCTCATTTGTCTTTGCTACAGAACCAGATTCTGTGCTTTACAGTTAACACAGATGTGGCACAAGAGTTCTTCCATGTTACCCCAGTGCAGTTCTAGAAAATCCAAAATTCTGTTTTCCCAGATCAATTTTAAGAATCCAGGAGAAATTGGCATTGCCTGATTTTAGCCACTAGGTGGTGATAACACAAAGATCCAAGTTTGTGACATTCTGAAGACAACCAGCAAGTTAAAGAGGCAAAATTAATTAGTGTTTACACTATTGACAGGAATACAAAGGCTAAATGGGAGGCAGTGAAGTAAAGTTCTCCTTATGTATTTCAGCCTGGCTTTGCCTCTGTGCAGTAGGCAGGATAATCCAGTGCTTCTCAAGCTATCTGTGGTAAAGGGCTGGCTTTTTATTTTCAGACTGTGGCAGTGCCTATAGTTTTGAAAACGACAATAAAAGTGAAGTCCTTGACAAATGAAATAAAAACACATACAAAAATACAAGCCCCATTTTTTTTTATTAGATTCAACAAAAACAAAATTACTTTAAAAGAAGTTTCCCACCAGTATCTGTGCTTGACCAGTAACCTGCTGTGTTAGTAACTTATGGTACAGGCATGGGTCTGAGGACTACACTCTGACAATGAAACCTTGCTTGATCATGTATCCCATCCAGTCAGAACTGGTTCAAGATGTGGCTCCATTACCAATAGCAGGGTAGCCCTGGAAAGGTCATTTAGACTTTCTAAGCCCCAATTTACTCATTTGATCAGGTAAATAATACCTGTGTTTAGGCTTTGTAGGAGAACTCAATGTACTAACCTCTCAGGAGACACTCAAATGTTGGTAGAAACTGAACAACATAGTTTACATATTAAACAGATGGTCTCTGCTTCATCATCTTACTGACTGGCCTTTTTTCCATGAATAGACAGTGTTCAGTTGGTCATTAGGCATTTAAAGGACCCTGAAACCTTGTTTGATGGCCCTAAATGGAAGCACAGCTACTTGGAGACCCTTGACAAAGACCTGTCCCCTGAGAAGTGTACCCTCCTACTGAGCTGGCACCTCTACTAGGGTGGAAGGACTACATGAAGCAGTAAAGGAGTCATATGGTGCCTATTCACCCAGATGTGTCTGCAGTCAGATACTTCCATGTCCCAATGTGCTTAAACAACTGCAGAAGCATTAAAGCTGTCAGCTCAAAGTTTAGATTATTACTATAAAACCCAGGAAAGGTTGGCATGTAAACTACATTAAGCCAGATCAAGGACGGCAGTTTGTTCTTTGATTCATCATTGTAGCTACCATTTTCTGTAACTTTCCTATGCCAAACATACATGGCTTCAATTTTTACAACAATCCTGACGGATGACTCCTCTTAAAGATAAGGATACTAAGGTTCAGAAATGCTAAGCTGCCTACATCACAAAATGCCAGTTACTGGCTAGTTCTAAAATGCTAGCTAGGAACTTGTGCTCTTTAACACTTTTTACCACATCTGGAAGCAAAACCACTCCAGCCATGGTATCCAAATTAGTCTTTAAGTAAAAGAACAAAATCAAACTACTAGACCTGGTCCCCAAAGTTACAAAAGTTGCAAAGTCAGTCTAAACCATCAAAAAGTACTTAAATGAAAAAGTGTAACTGTACCAGAGAAAAGTAGCCCCCACCATGAAAATGTCACTGAGGGTATTTTTAAATCTGGGCACACCATATCCACAATTAAAAAATATGGGGTCCAAAGATCCTATGTATCTGATATGAACTGTAATTCATTTTAACAAAGGCTTGAAGTTTGAAATCAAGATCACCTAATGGGCTCACTTAGGCTAATGCAATGAGAGTTTCAGCTCCTCTCCAAAAAAGGTCCTGAGATGATATGCTGCAGTTCTGCCCAAGTACATTCTACCCTTCTGCTCCAAGGAAGAAGGGCCTAAGAAAATCCATGAATGTAAAACCACTACCTGAAAAACATATATGCTGGTGACAGGAGAAAAAAAAAAAAGCAGAAGAATTAAAATTTTATAAACCAGAGAGTGTGTTGTTTCTGTTAGGTAAAGGGATTTCTTCATATGTTATTTTAATAAAAGGGAATTTCATAGGTAAAAACCAATATTCAAAATTATAAAACAAATAGAACTGTCTGTGTATAATCACTGCATCAAAAATTTGCAAGAAACTGAACAGAAATTCTTTAGTTGATGAATGTGGTTTGAAGGGGTAATAAAACCTTTTTATGGCTAAAGCAAGAGTCTGATTTCCTGTTGGCCCAAAAATAGACGTTTCATTTCCCAAATAAGTAGGCTCTCCACTGTAAAGAAATATTCTTGTGTAGTTGGTTTCTATCTTCTTGAACTCTGCTCCAAGTTCAGCCAACTTGTTATATGTCCTTAACACAAATTTGGAACAGTCGTAGGATTCAAACCATGTCTCCGCCCCCTTTTCTGGGCTGGCCTGGACGGTCCATGTCTCATAATAAATCCCTGTTTCATTGTCCCATTTTACCCACTTTGCCATCTTGTTAAATGTGTTTCCTAGTTAAAAAAAAAAAAAAAAATTTCCTACGTGAACATCAAAGCCAATCATTAGTCTTATGTCAAATGTTCTAACCTGATTAAGGTCATAAATAAATAATATTATTATTAAATTATTAAATTATTTGTAATATCAGTTCCAAACCCGTACTCACAATAGGAATCCAAGCTTAGCCAATTTTCATTCCATTTTTCAAAGCACAAGGTATTTCTGAATTGTAAACCTTAGATATAATAGGGGTATCAAGTCTTACATACCAATTCTGTAATCATTTAAGCTATAAATCATACACATGCAGAAGCCCTCTTTACCCCACCCAACAAATCTTGGATTCAAAGGTAAAGAAAGAAAACAAGGAAAAATTGTGGATAGAGGGAAAAGTGAGTGGGGCAAAGGCAGTGTAAGAATGGAGGAGGGTGAAATGCAGAGCTTTTCTGTCACAAAGCATTGCGTGTGTACAGTACGAACGGCAGCCAGAGGAACAGCTACTTTAGAAGGCTGGCCTACTAATGTTACAAGAGAAAGTACCATACCCTGTCCACCCTGAATACCTGGTATTTCCTTTTTCTTTTTGTACTTGTAACTGTTCGGATTCTGCTCACAACCTTCCCACTAACCATACAAATTCTTCCAATGAATCAACTAAACTGGAAATGTTTTCGGCCACGTTCGTGGCCTATTACAGACTCCGGAACAGCTCACGCTCTCCTACGACCTTGTACCCGACCAAAGGAATCTCTCCAAATGTTAACAAAACACCATACTTTGCGTGGTTACAACCTCATCTGGGCATTTACAGTGCCTAATAAAGCTTCACTACAGCATTTCAATTTGTCACCATATATGTGAACCTTTCTTAAGTGCTCCAACTTGAGTCCATGAAATCAATATTTCATGTCCTATAAAATGAATACAGCGGCTGCCTTTATCAGTTTTTTAGAATTAAAACTATGGAATAATATAAAGCTTGTTTTCTTTTTGTTGTTGTTGTTGTTTATTTATTTTTGAGAAAAAGAGACAGCATGAGCAGTTGAGGGGCAGAGAAAGAGGGAGAGAGGGAGACCAGAACCCAAAGGAGGCTCCAGGATCTGAGCTGTCAGCACAGAGCCCGATGTGGGGCTCGAACCACAAGATCGTGACCTGAGCTGAAGTCAGTCGCTTAACAGATGGAGCCACCCAGGCACCCTTAAAGCTTGTTTTCTTAGACCTGGGTATACTGTTCTTAGTGTTCTTCAACCTTAAAAAGTTACTACTGTAATTAAGAGAGAATACTTCAAAACACTATTCTGTAACATGAGAAAATGTCAATGAACACGATTAATCACAAAGCAGACGGAAAACTTGAAAGATTTAAGTACTAGCATATTAGTACTATTTTACATGAAATAGTGATCACTTGTTCATATCATATACTGATGTCAGAAGGAAGAGTTTTCAGATAATGAAATAGGTGGACAAGGAGAAAAGAGCAACGTGAACTGGCCTGAGATGAAAAAAAAAAGTATCACACTGAGCACTGTTAAAAGAGAAACGGGCTTTGATATTGCTTGGGATGGTTTGGGGCGTATTAATTAGAAAGAAGGAAGGAAGATTAGAAAACAGCATGGTGTAGAGTTAAAAGATCCCCAGATTACATTTAAGACACAATTCTATTCCTGGTTCTACATCCAGATCTGTGACTGGCAAGTCATGCTACCTGGCTGACCCTCAAATCCTTATTTTTAAAAGGAAGAAGAGTGTTTTCTCCTCCCCACTGAGCTGTGAGATAACATGCTCCAAAATGCTTTGTAAAGGGCTATCCAAGTGGAAAGCTTGATAACTTCCTCAAGGTCTATGGCTCACTGAATAATTCTTACCACAAACAGTGCTTTCATTTCAGGTATTTCCACTTTCTTGGAGAACAACAATTATAATGCAGAGCTCTCTAAATCGTATGGGCAAGCTCCCTACCTCCAGAATGCAATGGCAGTCTCATCCCCGTTCTACACATGACGTAATGAGTCAAAGTAAAAATATGACCCAAGGTCACATACCAGTTTCTGATAAAAGTTCTGAACTCCTTTCTTCAGCATTAACCAACAATGCAACACATGCAGCAAAATTCTAAGTGTTTCAGCAACTTTCCGATACATCCAAAAGAACAGAAAATCTCAAAGATAAAGTATTTTGATTGCTCAAGGAGCCTCAAATGCTAAGATTGTATGTGTTTTGGGAAGCAATGTAGAGAAGTAGTTAAGAAAATGGCCAATAAAGCTTCACTGCCAGAGTTAGGGTCCCACCTACTTCTTGGTTGTGTGATTTTAACCACTTTGTGCCTCACTTTAGCCATCTGTAAAATGAGGGAAATAACCGTAACTATCTCAGGGGCTTGTTGTGATGATAAATGACATGATATAGGTAAAGCACTCGGAACACTGCTGGACCCAGAGTAAGTCCCCATGAGTGGTAGCTGTTATTATTTCTTGACATAAAAACATTTTGTCATCACTCAAAGTCTTTTTCCAGATACATTTAACAGGTCCTTTGATCAAATATTTTCACAGGCATTTTGTGGATTTTCTTCCACATGTTTATTTAGAAAGTCCAATTCAACTGCAGAAAACATTTTACCATTTCATTTTTTACTATGGAATAGAGGAGATACACTACTCATCACCTAAAGGTGACATTTTGCAGGGAGCCTGGGTGGCTCAGTCAGTTGAGCATCCAACTTCGGCTCAGATCATGATCTTGCAGTCTGTGAGTTCAAGCCCCACATCGGGCTCTGTTGACAGTTCAGAGCCTGGAGCCTGCTTCAGATTCTGTATCTCCCTCTCTCTCTGCCCCTCCCCTTCTCATACTCTCTCTCTCTCTCTCAAAAATAAATAAACATTAAAAAAAGAAAACTAAAGGTAACGTTTTGCATGAGTAATAGTTTGGATCAAACCTTACTGCTTCCAGAAGTACATTTTGTAAACTGACCTCTAAAGAGTAGAACATGACTGAAATGCCTCAAGGAAAGCAATTTTTTTCATTTGGATATCGATGTAATCATCAAACAAATGCCGTATTTTTGAAACTTACCTGGTATAGTTGCTACTTGAACTAATGTCCCATTTGCCTTCCAGTGAATATCATCAATTCCTTCAAAAAAGCATGCAGCTCCTTGATTACACCAGAAAGGGGCATTCATTTCAGGTCGGAGATGGGGAAATGTGCAATTTCCAAGTTGGAAAAGTTCGTACCATTCCATTGTGTAGTTCTGGCCAGTTAAAGTACTCTTGAATCCAATGGCATCATGCATAATTTTCTGTGGAAAGACCATACATGTATGAAAGCATCTGTGAAGTAACCACTGGTCCAGGAGCCAGATGGGAGAAAACGTAATATGTCACAACTGTATATCAAGTAGAACGACTCAGCTGTTCCTCTTCCATGTTGCTATTCTTGTGTCCACTCTGTGGCTCCTCCGATTCCAGGCCCTCTTCCACTCTGGTTTTGACCATTGCTGCTTATCTCAGATATGCTATATATGGACACACTCTTAATTTCTTTCCACTTTAAAATGGGTTGGAGAAGCTCCATGCCACAGGCTCAGGAAGTCTACATGCTTCACAGGGTGACAGAGGCTCAACTGGTGAGCTAAGCTAGGAAAATGTGTATAGCAGGGACTGGAAATGAAGTGTCTCCTGCCTGCCTTGCCCGTTCCGCTGGGCCTCCTCCTTTCTTACCTGCCAGGAGCTAGGTACAGGAGTTGGGTATGGATTCAGATTATTAAAAAGGGATTAAGCAACTGCATTTGTTACTGTCAGAATCACAAAACATGCTAATATTTTTTGACTACTCATTTTAAATATGCCAAGAGGAACAGCAATTATACACGATCTAAAATCAGCCCTTTGAACAGCGATTATTCCCTCAAATCCACTTAATAAATAATTTAATTAACCAAAGTTACAAGATCAAGATGCAGCCTTACCAGGTGTCCCAGGAGATTCCCATATTTAAATTCCCATACTGGGGCTTGTAACCGAAAGACTTCAATGACATCATCATCTTTCATAATTGGGATAGGTGAGCCGGTTGGACAGAAAGTGTATTTAGCTTGACAATAAGGATCTGGTTCTGGGCGGAAGGAAAAGCGTCTAATAAAGAAAAAAGAAACCACAAACTTAGATTCCAACAGGACTTTCGTTCTTCTTGCACATTTTAGAATCCAGATTTTAGTATCACCATCAATAACACTTTCAGAGAAAACATTCAAAGGTTATAGTGTTTAAACATTTTGTTATTCTGTCAACAACTCCGACGAAGTCTTTAATAGCAAATGATATATTACAAGCACTTTGATAAAGGCATGCTTCCCTGTTATCTGCTCTCATTGTGAGAATTTTGAACACAGGGGCCATACCTTAGAATGTCTATAGATCCACATTTATTTATAGACAAACAAATATTCACTGAATAAAGGAATATTTTTCAAATGACATTTAATTTCGTAAACAGTCCACATGTTAAGATTATTTCAAAATAATTATTAAATAGAATATATTTTCTATTTTCTTTTTTTAATGTTTATTAATGTTTATTTATTTTTAAGACAGAGAGAGACAGAAGCACGAGCAGGGGAGGGGCAGAGAGACAGGGAGACACAGAATCTGAAGCTGGCTCCAGGCTCTGAGCTGTCAACACAGAGTCTGACGGGGGCTCGAACTCATCACCTGTGAGATCATGACCTGAGCTGAAGTCAGATGCTTAAGCGATTGAGCCACCACCCAGACGCCCCACTATATTTTCTATTTTCTAAAGAATTAACCAACAGGGGGTGCCTGGGTGGCTCAGTTAAGTGTCTGATTCTTTTTTTTTTTAAATGTTTGTTTATATTTGAGAGAGAGAGAGAGAGAACGAACAGGGGAGGGGCAGAGAGAGGGAGACATAGAACTTGATGTGGGTTCCAGGCTCAGTGCTATCAGCACAGTGCTATCAGCACAGAGCCTGAAGTGGGGCTCGAACTCACAAACCATGAGATCATGACCTGAGTCGAAGTCGAATGCTTAGCTGACTGGGCCACCCAGGCGCCCCAAGTGTCTGATTCTTGATTTCAGCCCAGGTATGATCTCATAGTTCCTGGGTTTGAGCCCCATGTCTGACTCTGCATTGAGAGTGCAGAGCCTTCTTGGGATTCTCTCTTTCCCTCAAAATAAATAAACATAAAAAAAAATTAACTGACAGGAGTGTCCCTCTATTTGCTAGATGGAATGCTGCCCAATTCGTGAATCATTTAATAAAGCCAATTAGAGTTTAAAAAAAAAAAATTGGGGCACCTGGGTGGCTCAGTTGGTTAAGTGTCCAACTTTGGCTCAGGTCATGATCTTGCGGTTAGTGGGTTTGAGCCCTGTGTCTGTGTTGACAGCTTAAAGCCTGGAGCCTGATTCAGATTCTGTGTCTCCCTCTCTTTCTCTGCCCCTCCCCTGCTCTGTCTCTCAAAAATGAATGAACGTTAAAAAAATTAAAATTAAAAAAAAATAGCCACCGATCAATAGATATTTACTAAGGATCTACTATATGTAGGACACTATACTAGGAAGGAGGGAAACAAAATTAAAATGATGTTCCCTTCCTCAAGGACATTTAGGTGGGGACTGGGAAGACATTAAATAAGTAGTATGGCGCAGTGTGGTGAGTGCTAAAGAAATATACAAAGTCCTATGGGCACAAAAAAGAGAGAAATCACTTTTACCTGATGTGGAATGGGTGGGGTGAGAAGAGCAAAGAAAGGGATGAAGATCTGGCTTAGGCTTTTAAAATACTTTCGATGGTTAGGACATAAAAGGGACAATATTAAGGCTTATAAGACAGTAGGTAAATAATGCTGGAATTCAGGCTTCAAGGTAGGAGAAACAGGCAGGGACTGTCATTTTGCACTGATGCAGTGTGAACCGCACCACAGGACTCCTACAGCTGGTGAGGGCTGAGCCCAGGAGTGAGCTTAAAGGATTTTAAGTAGCAGACCTGATATGACTGAATTTGCTATGAAACAAACCTTGTTTGTATGAGTTACAGGAGAGCGGCAAGAGAAGCGAAATTAAGGCAGAGGTCAATTAGGAGGTTATAGCAATAATGTAATAAGAAGAGAAGCCATGGCAGTAAGACGAGAGGAGGGACTACTGCTGAAGTCGGCTCAACAGACACTGGTCACCTTCCATATTTGGCAAGAGAAAGACGGAAGAAAGAAAGACACTGCTTCTATCTATCTTCTAGGCACCACGGATCTCTAAAATTTTAGGCAGATCTATTTTTTTACAATCTTAACACATCAACAAAAAATTCTATTTTAAGAAGTTAATATCTTGATGTTAGCCAAGAGTATTAACAACCCCCCAATGTTTATGAAACTTATACATACTTCCTTGTTTTTATAGATGCTCAACGGGTTGTTTAAACACGTAACTATTTAGTTTTCACTTGCTTGAAGCAAAATCTTTTAGGTCAAAGGTAATTTCAAAAGCATAACTTAATAAAGTTAAATTTTATTATATTCAGTTGAGAAGACTAAATGGGGACAGATACTTAATACTTGAAACTTTTATAGAAACTCTAAGGTATCGTCAATACCTTGCCCTAACTATAAATCAAGTAGTTTTGCATTTACAATCTCTTCCTTATTTTACTGAACATTTAATTTTACTTCTTATGAACGTTTTATTAACTTTTTCTTTTCAAGAAAGCCCCAACTTCTCTTTTCATATATATCAAGCAAAACAAGGAAGTGGTGCAAACCATTCCAGTGAACAGAATACACTCCTATCCCCGCTTGACAATAGCTGACATTTATTAGATTTAATCCTCTAACAAGCCTGGGGGAAATGCTGTTACCGTTCCTACTTTCTTTAAAAAAAAAAATATTTTTTTTTAATGTTTATTTATTTTTGAAGGAGAGAAAGACAGAGTGTGAGCCAGGGAGGGGCAGAGAGAGAGGGAGACACAGAATCTGAAGCAGGCTCCAGGCTCTGGGCTGTCAGCACAGAGTCCCCACGCGCAGGGCTTGAACTCACAGACCCTGATATCATGACCTGAACCAAAATCGGGCGCCTGAGGACTGAGCCATCAAGGCGTCCCATCCATTCCTACTTTCTAGGGCAGGTCACATGGGCACAGAGACACTGAATCACGTTGCCAATTTCAAAAGCTAGTGCTGGTGGTGCCTGATTCGACTGGAACCCAGAACTCATTCCTGACCATTAGGTTATCCTGCCTCCCCGCTCACTATTTTGTCATCCGAAATAGCCGTGTTTTCAAAATCTGTTGGCCTTTCGCCTGCTTGATGTTAGCAGCGTGTTTTCTTTCTGTTTAGCCACCTGAACATCTAAGGCCGTGTAGATACTCTTCTAGGTCAAAGGCTCCAATCAGCTCCACAGGTGTGCAGTCTCTGTCCTCGTCGTAAGACCAGACTGAAAACGGGGGACACACGAGGTCACCAACCCTTCCGGTGAGCCCCAGACAAAGGGAGCGGGGAATTCCCAGGACGCGTGACTTTTACGGCTAAAAATGGAAATTCCCAGAGAACCAAGACCAGTAGGTCATGTTGTATATTGTGCCAATGGGTACGTACTCATGATAACTAATGACATGCATGACGTCAAGTAATAAGCACGATATTCAAAGTCTCCTCAAACCATTCAAAGAGTTGATCACTTGCATCTAAAAGTCACTCAAATAAAATTACATTACTCCCGTTTCTTCCATGACTCCGGCCTGCCCTGAGCCTAAGCCACCTAGAAAGCAGTTCAAGTGTCCCAAGAGGAAGAAAGGGCCTGGGCGACGCGCAGCGAACAGCTCAACTCGGTCCTCCACCGCGCCGCCTCCGCCTCCCGACCCCGGCACCCCGCCCCGCCAGTGCGCGCGTCCGCCC